CAGACAAAAGAATCTTCAGGAATTAATGAAGAAAAAAAAAAAAAAAAAAAAAAAAAACAACACAAATGTTATATAAAATATAAGCGATACACCCAAAAAATGATAGAAGTAATTCAGAATTAAAGAGTATTAAATTAACAAAAAAAAAAAAAAAAAAAAAAAAAAGGGTGGGGGTTATAAATATAGGATGAAACACCCAAATTAACATATATCAAATTAAATTTATTTTAATACCCATCCACAAGGAAGAAAATTATATTTGAAATTTAATATATATATAAAAAAAAAATAAAGAGAAGTGCCTCCAGAATAAGTGGATTAAAAGATGCCTTAAGAATCAACAATACTAATTAAACAATAGTAACAAAATTTTAAATAAATACAAAATAACACAAAAAAACCTAACATAATTAATAAATTTTAATACGAAACCAAACAAAAATAATAAAACCAAAAAAAATATATAGAGAACTTATACTAAGATATATATTCAAATGCCACTTCATCATACCTCATAATACAAAACACTTCAATACTACATATCAATATTATAATGCACCACTTATAAAATCTAAAAAGCCCATAATATTAAAAATTACTAAATACTTAAAATCCGATATCCAATTGAATGTGAATAAAAAAATAAAAATAAAAAACATAAACCAATACATGAAAGAGCTTATAAAAACAATTATGTATTATTACATAAATTAACTCAAAAGTTATCGTTATGTTATAGAGATACCTATTACGAAAAATTACCATGAATCTTTTCAGTAGTTTGGCCTGCCTCATGATGAGCCATAAATCATGTAGCCAACTGCTTAAGAAGCCCATGTCTGCTGTAGACTATATCATGAAAAACTGGTTATAACCACATTGCCAGATTAGACAAATTTGTTGAAAAGGAGATATTGCCAAAACGATAAACAGGCTATACTTTGCCTTCTCTAGGATCTCATTGGTTTGAACAAGAAAGGGTCCCTCTACTGTTTGGGAAGCACAAGGCCTCCATACAGCATTGCTCAGGCTAGCACCCTGGAGAATACATTCCAGTTTTACTACCCAATAAGAGCACAACACTGAAAACTGCAGTTACAAGTCAAATCTGCTTGATTTTATTTTGATAGTGGGCAGATCATTTTTCATTGTCCAACTATTCACCACCTTAAGCTAGATAGTGAGTTCCCACTTTGCTGGGTAGGGGTGCTATGTTTTGCATGCTTCCTTGAGCATGCTAAGTTTAGATAGTTAAACATGCAGCAGGCAAAAAAAAAAAAAAAATCATGCATATGGCAACATATCCAGCAACCTTTAACAAAAAAAAAAAAAAAAAAAAAAAAAAAAAAAAAAAAAGTTGCCCACACCATGAGAAACAGACAGGTTATTGTCACCTCTACAGGAAACATGACTGTCTGGAACACTACACCTGGCAGGAAGAGAGGAAAGAAACTGTAACAAAGTTGGATGTCATCAGGAACACATTGTGCACAATCAAGCCTTCTTCCAGCATCAAAGAGAGTATCCTATATTCCAGCATTTTTCAAATGGTGCACATGGGTACACTAATGCACCCTGGACAGTAAATAAGTGCACTAAGTTAAGAGTAATTTATGAATTTAAAAAAAAAAAAAAAAAAAAAAAACGACACCATGCACATGGTATCCATGTTGAAGTCAGGTCAGTCATTTGATACTTTAAACTGGATGCTAAATCCATTCATCTTTAAGGACTGGATAATTTTTCTTATTAAAATTTAAAAGTTCATCCCCAGACGTATAGGGGTGTCTTGCAGTAATAAAGAAGAAGAAAAAAAAATACTGCTCTATACATTGGAAGAGCCTTATAAAACTTGTGCACATCTGCAAACCAACACAATCTACCTCCAAAATCAAAGATTCATTTTATCTATGACTAAACAGCTTTGTCATTAGAATTCCTGCATCAAAACATGTTTACTATCTGAGAAACTTAAAACACTAGAAGCATCCCAAAGAGCCCTGGGCCCACAAACCACAAAACTTTTACAAGGTTTTCCAAGACTTCTGCTATAACTTGTGCAACAAAACCTTAATTTGCATGCTACAAAGCATTGTAACATTAAAAGTCAAACCAATTACATCTACTGGGATGACATAAAAATCAATATCTGCCAAATTGACCTCCATTTTAAAAGGTAAAGCTAAAAAAAGAAAAAAAATTTTCTAAGATTAGTTATTAATTTTAAGTATTGACAGTAATATTGCATGTTTTTCTCAAATGCATCTTTTTTTTTTGCTGCACTTTGCCAATTTTCTCACATTGCACCATTACAATGGCAAGGCACTCATCAAGCTTGGCTAACTACACAAGTTCCCTTTTTCTCAAAGATAAAACTGAAATTTAGAATTAAGGATAATGCTAAACCAATTCTATGTCCAAAATAAGAATCTGCAAACTTAAATTCTCTTAAGCATCTGAAGTGACTTTGCAAACATTAAATACCAAACTAAAACAGTTTACCAAATACTATTGTCAACAGAATGAGATGTGGATTAAGTTTATATTAAATTAAATGAACAATTTCACCACACACACAAAAAAAAAGAAAAAAAAAAGAGAAATTAATTCCTCCAGCAATGTACAAACATCTTTATATTGATGTAGAAGTTGAAATCTCACTTTCCTGCAAAACAAAGCTAGCTGAATTTGGGTTTACAGTCAACTTTATGTTAAACAGTTTAAATCAAAATACTTTTCATGCTCTGCTGAGAAACCTAGAAAGTCTTAAGAAAAACCCAAAATGCAATCTTTTCAGTTCACTGATCAAAGTCTCTACAAACCCCACCTTAAAAGACATTGTAATGAAACCAGATTTGGAGCAAGTTATTTGTTGGGACAAGAAAAAGCAAAATTCAAAACTATTTTGGGAAAAAAAAACAAATGCAACATTCTTGTCATGTCTGTCTTTAAGCCTGTAGCCAGAAAAGACTGAAAACTACAGTAATAGAAGCAGATAATTATGCTAGGAATGATAGTCATGAACAATGCAATAAATTCCACTAAATTTGTTGAATTTAATCATTTTAAAATTTTATCTTAGAAATTTATAAACTGTTTAGAGAAGAGCCACAAGGAGAAAGAATCTCATTTGTTGCTTTTGCCCTATCATTAATCCACTCTTAAAATTCTGGCTACAGGTCTACACAGTAACCCAAATTTGAAGGAAAAGAAATTCATGACAGCTGGCTAATTCAATCTTAAGCACCCTCCAGTCAAGAACTTCAATCTTTTTAGCAGGAAACAAAATACATAGCCAAATTTCTTGATTAACACAAGGACGGTAAAAAAAAAAAAAAAAAAAAACTTAATTTTTTATATTACATATTAGTTGGCTGTATTTTATGTAGTTTGCCAAGAAAAGAAAGAGAAATGAAAGTAAAGTGACTTTATTTACAATTGTAAATCACCAGAGGGCACAGTAGAAAAATATTCCACATGACTTGCAAATATTAAGAGTGATACTTTTAATAGTAAAAATCAAGACTGGAATGCATACAAAGTTGTTATAGACAATGATGACATTACAACACACAATGGTAGTAGACCCACAGTACTACATGCATGGTAGGGCAGTGCGACAGATGCAAGTTAGTAGCCAATACCATTAAATCATGAGTGTGCCAGACTATGTTTTTGGAGAATAGAAACTTTGGTCAGAACTCCAAACTACAGAAAGAACTTGGCCAGCAGATCAAGCAATTGCAGCAGTAACAAACAAGAACATAACATTAACCAGTTTGCTTTTTTTTCTATCAAGTAAAAAAATACTAACAATCCATATAGAAGAAAAGTATAGGAAAAAAATCAACTATTTAGACAAGTTTTATTTAGTTGGGTGTGAATCAAGAATTAGAATTGAGAAGAAGAAAAAAAAATAGATGATTGAATACTAAAGAGAGTGTCAATTGAAGGGAGTGAGAGGAAAAAAAAAAAAAAAAAGGTGGGGTATATATATCTCACATTCGCTTCAATAGAAGTAGATGTGGTTCTTCCAAGAGGAAAAGAGTGGCAGATACCATGGTGATGTGCAGTATCTGAAAGAATAGAGGTAGACGTGGAAGGAAAAAAAAAAAAAAAAAAAAAATTTCAATTTGAAGAAAGGGTAAATTAATTCTAAAAAGCCAGAAAACCACAAATGTGAAGAAAATAAGAGAAAACATTGATTTCAGTCACATATTTGTTATCGTGATTTTTGTTTTTACACAAATGAATCAAGAGCAGAGCAATATCCAGACTTTGAAGCACCAATAAATTAGGAAAGAAAAGAAGAAAAGAAAAAAAGTAGATAAAAGAAAATGTCCATATTATATCAAAATTTGATTTGTTTGTCTATTAACCACAATAGCTTGTCTATTAGAAACTGTCATTTAGTATTTAAGTGTCTCCCAACAAAGGCTTTCATAAAGATACAGAGAAAAGCTTTGACGAGTTACACAAACATAAAGCCAATGTGCTCATTAATCATTACCACTTGCACATTTGATGTGCAAATGTGCATATGAAAAGAGCAAGCAGCCTTTTTTGTTTAGATTAGAAAAATAAAAATAGAGTCGCTCTTCACTTTGTAAGTGATAAGTTAAGCAGCGTTGTAATGTCTTAAATGGTTTGGAGCTTTTTTTAATTTTTTAATTTTTTATTTTTTTAATTTTTTATTTAAAATGGCCAAACTGTTAACCTCAAAATTGTAATGCCAACCATAATGTCCATTCAAAATCCACAATCAAACATGGTGAAAGAGGTAGAGCGATAGGGGAAAGAAAGGAAAAAAAATGTGTTGAAGTTGTTGACAAAATGAAAAAGGTGAGAGCAGGTAAAGAAAAAGTTATTGGTCAAAGACTAAACATTTGGAAGGCTGGACACTTGTGGCCATTGATAGGTGTTGCTGGCTAACAGGCACCTCAGAAAAAAGTCATCTCCCTCCAGGTGTTTTGTTTTTGTTGGTTCATTTTTTTTTTGTGTTACTCTGCTTTCCCGCCCTTCATGCTGTCAGAGACAAAATCAGCAGCAGCATCTGTGGCAGCTTTGGTCACAGTTTTCTTGGCTGTGGAAAAAAAAAAAATTAAAATGGCATTGAAAGACTAGAGATTTCAATTTATTGAATGACAAGCTTTAAAAAAAAATGGTAGGTATAGGAGTGTACACACAATTCAGTGTGTGTGTGTGTATATATATATATATATATATATATATATATATATATATATATATAAAAGGTATTAGCAATAATAGAAAAGTTGGGATTTCAGATTTTCTTGATAATCTTTTGTTATGAGCATTTCTAAAACAACTGGAAAAAAATACAGAGTGTGGAAGAAATAACAACATAATGATAAGACATTAGATAAATGAAGACACCATTGCCCCTAATATCTTACCAGTGTGCGCGTGTGATTTCTGCTACACTGCATAAAGAAATGTTTATTTGCTGCTACTACAATGCACGTACTTGCAAGGCACAAGTGAAATTTTCTTTAAAATAGATGTGTTAAAGATCCCCAGTTGGTGTTTGAAACTGAACAGAGCTAAACCCATATGTATTAGGGTTTTATTTATATTCAAATGAATCATTAAGAAAAAAAAAAACTACAAATCTTATTTCTAGGACTGACTGTAGGTATCCTTGATGAGGTGGTAAGCCAAAAACCTCAACACAAATATGTACACAGTGGTAGGCATTTTGATAAACTTGCTCAAAAGTGTTTTTGTCAGTGCATGAGATCTGGAATAAGAACTGGTCTCACTTACACACAAAGTCCCAAGAAAAACTAGCAGTGAATTGGAGATGGCACATGCTTTGAACTATAGATGTGTGGGTGCATTTGGGAGAGGGGGAGTGGACACTATGCCAAAGAATGTCTGACATTCTTGACAAGTGATGAATTACATTAAAGTCCCCAAAAAGAAATAGAATTTAAGTAAATGCTTTAGGGCCACAACAATTAACACCCTGGAAATCAGTAAAAGAGAAGCAAGATTTGCATAATCAACTGACCCTCATCCATCTTCTGGCCAAAAGAATTCATGGCATCATCAATTTCAGACTCATGCTTTAGGAAAAACACCTTGATAAGACGATTGTAAATCATATCAGCACCATTATGAGGGATTGGCATCATGCACCACAACAGGAAGATGCACTGTAAAAAAGAAAAGAAAGTAAAGTCAACATTACATGTTCAAACAGTAAAATAAACCAGAACAGAGACAATATTAGATGTTCCCTGCTTACAATTGAGAAGTTTTGTTCTTTTTCTATCAAAAGCAAAGTTCTGAGAAAAAAAGCTAATTTTCTGTCCCAAGCCAGCAAAAGCTGTTGGGTACTTTTTACTATATTTCTTAGTGAACATCATATGCATACAAGAGAAAGATTTAACAACAGTGCTCTGTGGTTATGAAAAGTCTGGTCAAACAGGGTTCAAGAATCCTCAGGGAAGAAAAAAAAGGAAAAAAAAAAATTTTAAATGAAAAATCTCTCATCTAATAATAAATAAAATCCTCACAATTCAGGATAGGTTTAAAAAAAACAAAAAAATGCTGTTAACCAAAGTTCCTATAGAAGAGAATTGGAATTCTGTCACTGCATATATAAGTGGGTGCTTTTGTATATTTTAACTTTCACAAGATTGAAAGCTTTTGAAGCAGTAAAAATAAAGTGTTTGTTTCACAAAGCATTAAAATTTCAGCTTAATTTTAGCTTATCTTTCAATGTCACTACTTGGTTCAAATCTGAAATAAAGGGGTAAGCTTTCAGGGAGATTAACAACCATTCTACCCCTGGGAAGTCAGGTTTACCTTCAGAGATGAAAGCCTAGTAAAGACACTTTCACGTTGGATCACTGCAGTTTACTACTAGCTTAAGGACATATCACATTGAAACATGGTTTTTGTCCGATCAAAGTTAAGCAACTGACTCTGGCCAGTACTGAAAATGGCCGACTGCTGGGGAATGCCAGGTGCTGAATACAATTGCTCTACTTAGACTAACAGTAGATTGATAGGCCACAAGGCCTACCTGGAGTTGGGTGTGTGAGCCATTTTCTAATGGCTATGCACACAGACAGCAAGTTGCGTTGGTATGTGGGGGGGGGAAGAGACACCACACACACACTAATGAATAATCTGAAGAACTGAACTAAGTTAATAATAGTCAATAAGCTTTGATCAAAGTAATACTTGGACATTAACTTGTATATGACCTGAAGTTCTATGGCTCAAATTGTTGAAACTTCAATCACAGAATATTGACAGCACGTGTTTGGTACAAGAATACAAAAGTGGTACATCCAGCATGGATTGAACACAATGGTAATAGTGTAGAAATTAAGCTTACTAATGACTATTTTACAAGCAATAGAAAAATGAAAAAAGTTAATTTAACTATCTACCAACTTGTTCACTTTATAAAAATCCCTTCCCCTCAATAATATTTTAAGAAAATCAGAATTTAAATTCAGCAACAACCCCATTGCGATAAAAGAAAAAAAAAAAGAAAAAAAAAAAACAGAAAAAGTCACAGGATATAGTGTTAACATTTGAGAAAAGCATGCATTTGTGCAGTAGATATGCAGTGGGGTGGGAGAAGCAACTTACCTTGAAGTACCAGTAGAATGGAATCCAGAAGAGGAGCAAGTCAGCAAAGAATTCAAGCAAGCTGAAAACACTGTAGACAACCCAATACATGAGCCACTGAGTGTCATCATCCTTGCGTGAAGATTCGATGGCTTTAATCCTGAGAGCAGGGGAAAAAAAAAAAAAATCTTATAGTTCTTAAAACAAATTCCTGGAAGTTTTAAACATAATTTACAGATTTATTTAACTACAAAGTCATTTGAATTAAACTTATTCTGCACCAAAAGTAGGTCAACACATTTACAGGTTTATTTTCTCACCTTTGTTGCATTGGAATAAATATGCATCAGATGACAATGTAAAATGCTATTTACATCAAATGGAAATTCCAATAGTTTAAACTATTCCAATTTAGAGAATTCATAAATTAAACTTAAATAAAATAAATATTTGATACATTTAGAATGCAATTGATTAAACCCAATTATCTAAGCAGCATTTTATTAACAAACATTGTCCAACATAAGTTTTAAAAGGTTTTCTCTTCACCATAAAGAGAAAGCAATGACCACCAATATTTTCTTTATTATATGCTATAGTTTGAAAACCAAAGCTACAGACTAATTGACATTCCCTAAGTTGTTACTAATTTGACTAATAAAAAGGGGGAGCCATAAATATAAAAAATATTTCTTGTAATGCATACACACACACAAAAAATTAGTTCAATAGTCAACGTGTGCGAGTTTGATAATAAAGACTGACTGGGTCATCACAATGTTCATTTTTCAGTTCTATTATATGTGAATTGAAAAGGCTTCATATCTGATGGTATGTGCATAAAAAATAGGTTTTTCAGATGATTACTTGACACAGAGAAAATCATATCAGGTTATAAAAAGCAGACCAACAGTCTTGTTATACTTGCTCGAGGTTTCAGTAAAGTACAATGACTATAAATAACATTGGAAACAAGTTTCAAGAGTGAGAAACTATGTTCAACTCAAGTGGAAATTGATAAAAGCTTTCTCAAAATAGACTTTAAGGTTTTTTTTATTTTTTTATTTCTTTTTTCAATACAGCTAAACAAGCACTTCTGTTAAAGTAATTTTAAATTAAGATTAGTTTTAACTTAAAAATGTGATATACTTTAAATAAAAAAAGAAATATGTTTGAATAAAAAAGTAATAAGACAAGTGGGTTGTTTGGAAAAGTCAAGATCAGCTATGAACAAAAAAAACAAACCAGTTGAAAGGATTACAGGTTATTCAAGAGTCCACAAGTGTAAACTGTTTCCACAATGACAAAATGAGATCAATATCACCAAGACATTTTGTTGGTAATATAATATACTACAATTTGACCATAAAAAGGTTTAAGAGATTCAACTACATATCAGGATAATCAAGATCCTATTTTGGGACCAACAACTTGGCTAAAAACAGATGCTCAGCTTATACTTAGATAAATGAATTATTCAACATAAAAAATTTCATTCCAAATTAAGCTAAAATTCAATTACTTCAATGCAGGGACAGTACAAATTTGTAGGAGACTAGATTTCCAAACTTATGCACAACAAAATTTGCCAGGTAAGCCATGCCCAAGTATAGAAGTAAACAGACAACCCCAGAGTTTTCATATTTGAACAAAAAAAAAAAAAAAAAAAAAAAATGTAGGTGAGTATAAGAGTTATAAAAAAGCCAACCAACTTAATTCTACTCATCAAAGAAAAGGAAAAGAAAAAATTACTTGATCCAACACACAAGAAAAAAGAGTTTGGACTTTTCACCCAAATCAAACCCCATGTGATCTTGACTTCCTGCAGACAATAGGACAGTAGTTTGGATGACTGCTTAGGTTTTTTTAGACAGCCCCACCCCAATTATATACATTCTAAAAATGATTTAAAATCAATCATTTAAAAAAGCAATGCAAATGAAATTTTCATGAAGACTAAGGAGGATTGTGAATAGTTGGAATATATTTTATTCTTTATATAGGAAATGGATGAACAGTTGTGGTTTGAGCATATAAAAAATAAAATAACTTCATTATAAAATTGTTCAATGTGATTGAAGCTAAAATCAAAACTTTTTCTAATAAAAAGCTACTATGAAGGATAAAAACATTGAGGTTTTTTTTTAGGATGATTTAAGTTGATTTCTACAGGAAGGTGGCCTCATTCTGTTACTTTCTTTAAACAAAAAAAAAAAGCCTTAAATTATCCTGTTTAGCATAAATATCAATTACTACATAAAACTGACTAAAATCTTGTACTGCACTGGTTGTCCAAGCATTAATACTTGCCCATTAGAGAGTTTGTCAAAAAGCATTTATTAAAACATCTTTGAAACTAAAAAGAGATCAGACATTTACAGGATTTTTCCATTGCCATAGAAGTAAAATGCTACTTATAGACTGCAAGACTAAATTGAAATCTAACAGACCCAGGATTCCAGTTCAATGCTTCATGAACTGGTCAGTTTTCCTGCTTAAAAGAAAAGCTAAAAATAAAAACATTCAATCCAAAACTAAACTAAGAGTAGGGAAAGGAAGCAAAGCTTAATTTATCTTTCAGACCGACTAGTATTGTATGCAAATTAGATAGACAAGTATAAATAGAGAACAACTGGCAAACATAGGGTGGCTATGTCTAGCAAACCCAGTTGCTATTCAGGACACTGAGAATTGTACTACAACTACTCAGAGAGATCTGCAAAATAACACTGACCAACCAGTAAACAAATTCTGAAATATGATTATATCCTTGTCGACAAGCAGGATTGTTGATTTTGCTTCCAATCAATATCTTCATAATCACAAAGTGATGAAAGGTTGTGTAACTTACGATTTGTAAGCAGGATAGCAGAAGCCAATGAGGTTGCAAAGGAAGTTGCTTCCATATCCAACCATCAGATAAAGGCTGAGGAAGCCAATTATGCCTGCAAAAAAAAAAAAAAAAAAAAGCTCATAAGTTCTAAATTTCAATAGCAAATAAGTATTTCACATTACAAAAGTTCATTACTGTTATGATGTTGATTTGGGGTTAGTAGAGACAAAAACCAAATAACACGTAACAATAAAAAGGGTTTTAATAGGTTGGTAAAAAGGTACAGAAATCGCCTGAGTAGTCAATAACTAGCTCAGCTAAGAACTTCTGTGTCTATCTATCTTCCCCATGTCAACTGACATGCCACTATTTAAAGTCTTTGTTCATCTTCAAGAGGAGTGGTAGGTTTCCGACACAACAATTACAAATTCAGAAATTACTAGATTTTCAGTCTTGGATTTTTTTTTTTTAATGCAATGTTCTTTCAGAATGTGTGCAATCATGGCTCTCCAGAATTAACTGAATTGCCATTACTTTAGAAACAAAATGGTTTCCAATTGCCTTCTTGGTTTTGAATTCAGAATAGAACTTACTGGAGACAAGCTGCTGTCCAAAGATATAGAACCCAACCTACCCTGGGTTTTAATCTATAACTTTGGTAGTCGAAGAGAAATTTTTCCCCAAGACTATCAATGTGTAATTGAACAGATGGGACAGAAATCCATGACAACTTATGCTATCCTGCGGAATCATTTTAATTTCTGATCCAAATCAAATTTATCAAGAGTTTTCATATCTACAATAATTCAGTTATCCTAAAATAAGTTTTCTAGTCTAATTAAAGAGTCCAATTTTTCATTAACAAACATTTCCTATTTCCAACTAATTGAATGCCTTTAACAAATGTAAAAGTTACATGGCCTTAAGAAACAAAAATAACATGCAAGTTATTGATCCCAAGGAGGAGGGAACTAAGAATTCGCATTCATTAGAAACAATTTAGCAATTATACGTTCCAGCCTTGTGCCATATATTGCAACATTCTCAGAATTTTTAAGTAAATGTTTAAGTTTTCTCATTCTCATGTTCATGAATATTTAGCTTCAGTTAATCCATTTAGGCTATTCTGCTTTGTGTTACTCATCTGTTTCTTCCACACCATCACCCAGAGAATCAGATAATTTGCTAAGTTATGTGGATCTTTCAAACAGATCGCCGATTATGAGACACCTGAAGAGATTTGGAGTACAGCCTAAACTAAGGATGACAACAAGAGTATGTTGGTCTAAATAGAAAGGCAGACAACCTATTGGCTCAAAGATTCCAATGCAAGTTATTATTGAACATCCTACAAGGAGATATACATTATGCACACTCATAAGTTTATGTAGTGAAGAAAAAAAAATTCATTGGGAACAATGACAAACTACTTTATTAATGAAGAGTAAACTGGGATAAATTAGTATGGTGGGGGGTAAAGTACCCTGTTAAGATGCTTTAAGAAAATCATTTAATAATTTTCCCCACAGAAAAACAATTTTGACCCTGCCCTACAAAATACTGAATCCATATTCAAAAAGTCTGAAATACCTCTGCAAAAAGATTTAAATCTATTGGCCACAATTTGAAAAAAAAAAAAAAATTGATTATCAGTGAGAGCCTGTCAAGACAGAAACCGATGTTCTCCCACAGCTTCAGTATCAGTTACATTTATAATTTAGCTATGTGAATTCCTTGCTAATAAGAATCCTGTTTATACATATTTTTATACAAGCATGATATAAAATCTATATACCAGTCTAATAGTGACTGAGTGACAAAAAACAGGTGAACTAAGTAAGCATTTTATCTCAGGAATGGATTTCAGGGAGATTTAGAGGCAAGGTGGCAAGAATACAATTGCAGGTATATATAAACAGGTGCAATCCTTACTTCTTGCCTTAAAAATTCCCAGAATATAGAACCTTGTATATTCCACAAACCTCATTTATACATGCATGTAATTTTTGGACACCACAAAGTATTATGATGACAATGTTGCGGACCCGGCAGCGTGCAGTGCTGGTTTATTACTAAGTGGCCTTGTGCCAGACACCACACTAAACTACCGAGTCCACAAGCAATGTAAAAAAAAAAAAAATAAAATGCGTGAATGAACAGTGAGAGGAAAGGGGTCAATCAACGAGTGCATAAATTAATAAACATCAAAGAGATAGCCGGAATAAAATGACAAAGACATCTGTTTGTAAAACATGTGTAACTTTAATTAGATGGAAACAAGTAACTTATCTCGTGGTACGAGATTAATGAAAAATGTCCCGCGCCAAAATAGAAAGCGAGATGGCTAAGGCGGGAAAAAGAGTTTTATAAGGTTCTGGAAAAAAGGATGTGCGCACAGATAGAAAGGAGTACTCACTGTGGATTTTTTTTTTTTTTGGCGTTGTAAGTGTGTGTGGTATTTTTGTGTTCAGGTTCATAGTTAAAAACAATGTTCGGTCGTCTCAGAGTTTTTGGTGAGGCATCGAATTGGCTGCTGGAAATTTTACAGGATTTCTGTGGGCATCTAGCCAGGAGAAACGAAGAATGTTTGAAGCGAGTTTCATGGTCTTGTGGAGTTGTTTACGGCGAGCCGAGAGACGAAAAATGTTTGTTCGTAAGTAAGAATATCCCTGTCTGTATTTACTGGTTCACTGACGAGGGGTAAGTGTAAGTCACCTGTTGAACACGAAGTTTTGCCCACGACTGTGTCGTGTGTCTCGAACATTTTCTAGCAGAAAACGGAGAAGGTCTGACCTGCGGATAGCAAGTTGTTCGTCAGTAGGATATCCCTGTCTGTATTTACGATTGACTGACGAGGGATAAAAATAAGCCACTTGTTGAATACGAAGTTTTGCTCACGACTGTGTCGTGTGTCTCGAACGTCTTCTGGTCGAAAACGGAGAAGGTCTGACCTGCGGGCAGCTTCAAGACGAGAAGAAGTCTTGGTAAAGTGTGAAGTCGACATTGTTGAGATAAGATATTCCGGCCCGCATATGGGTTAAGGGCACGGAATAAATGAGTTGCCCATCTAGTTAGGTCGGAAGGCAACTGGTTTGCAAACGCTGGCCGTTTGAGACGCCGCGAAACGCGCGGGAAAAAATTCAAAATCTGTTAGTCTGAGTTCATCAGTAGGAGCTAGCGAAGGTTACTGCTATGTCTAGCTGTGAGAGGAAGGAAAGGGTGCAAACCGCGCGCGCACACACGCACGAGTGTGAAAGGAAGGGAGGAAACTCGCACGCGCGTAAAATATAGATGGAATTAATGTGTTAATTCCATAACAACTTTAAACAAGACAGTATTTTAAGTCATTAATGTTCATTATACACTTTCATTTATCATCAGTCCAACTCAAAAACTTGTTTGGCAAGTTGAAGACCCTTAAATTGGAAGAAGAAAAAAATAGCACAAACAGCCTCCATTACACAAGTCAAATTAGTAGAGAGGAAAATTAAAGTCGAGACAGTCAACGTTTTGTCACTTATGATAAAGATAACTGACTGTCATGAAGTAGGAAAAAAAAACTGCAATGGCAAAGTATTTCAAATTTATTTGTGAAGGACATTTACTAAGACAATAACATTTTCATGTGAGACATCAAAGTTTATTTGAAAATAAACCACAGCTATCAGTCCAAGATGAATGAATCCAAAACGCAACAACAAAACTTAAATAATATTAAATAGACATAGCATAAAGACTACAAGATTACTAGAGATACTTTCTAGTATACAGTTTAAATTACTGCATATAAAATTAAGTAATGTGCTCAACTGGTAGCTTTGTCGCTTATTGGCTTGTTCAAGCGCTCCTATATGTTAATTGGCTAGTATTGTTACCTAGCGATGATGAAGTTATGGTTTGTATTCTGTTAAATAACGATAAAAAAATTCTATGTTACTTAAAAATCGAAAACTGAAAAGAGACAATATATAGTATAACAAATAAATAATAACAGGTAAAATAAATTGACCTAAATTCATCCAAATAAATAAACTAACAAACCGATCCCGATAAACTAACCGTTAGAAAAAACAAATAAAGATAAGCAATCCAAATAAATACATGAAGTAATAAACAAATTAAAAATTGTTCTCGCCAAAATAATAGTTAGAATAAACTACAACAAACCCAAAAATTGAATAAATAGCTTTATCTTCCCAAATCAAAACAAAACTATTAAATAAGCGATATAAACAAATTTTTACTACATTAATAAAAACACCGATAAAAATAAAAATAAATAAATATATAAGATAAGAAATAAAAAAAAATAAAAACAAGCAAAATAATTTAACCCAAATAAATAAACGACTTCCGGTAAGATAACCGCCAAAATAGACTACCCACAATGCACCAGTGACACGTATGTATAGATAGCCGAGAAAAATAACAGCACTCACTTCTATGTTCACTTATTATATATATATATAATATCAACTAGGTCCCTTACTTCAAACAACTGTAATTTGGCATCACCTGGACAGATGGCACCTCTACTCTGTAACTGATTATATGACCCCATCACCAGAATTCCCTCCCGTCTGGCCAAATGTCATTTTACCCTAAGAGTTCTAGACAGTGGGTGGTTGCTTTGAAACTCATCAATTTTCCTGGCAACACACAAAACCTGCCAGTCACTCACTTGTTTACATACGTTTGCCTTGAGTAGTCGTGCGGCACGGAAGCTCCACTTGTCTTGATTACTGCGCAATGCGTGAAGTTTAAAGTGAATCCGCGAAATAATGCGCGAAAAAAATAAAATCCAACATTTACAATAAAATAAAATAAAAATTACATGCCTGAAAAGTAAAAAAAAAGATGTTTTTTTATGTGTCATGAAAGTCTCTTGAAAAGCTTCATAAATTACATTTGAGGGTGAGATTCATTTTAAAAAAATAAGTGCATTTTAAAAAAACATCCGCGAAAATCGCTCAGTAACAAAAACCAGTAAGATAGGAAAAGCTGTAAAAAGGCCGTTAACTAAGTAAGCTTCCGTGCATTAAAACTAGAGGAAAAAGTATGTTAACAACGCCAATAATGCCGGCCGGACGAAGCGAAATCGAACTTACATTGATGATAAATCGAAAATGGTAATCGAGCGCAATATTTTAATGTCATTTTTGAAATAACCAGGATGGTTGATACATTCTCAATACCGGGAGCTTTTGGTGCTTATACTGCAAATTAACCATAAAAGTCATTTGACTCCGTGGGTGGATTAATTAACGAGGAGGTGTGGCCTCCATTGTGGGATTGAAGAGGGAAGGCATATTTCCCCTTCCTAGACAAAAAATTAAAATATCTGGAAAATTACCTAGTCAGATGGTCACAATTTTCTTAAATCAACTTCTAATTTAAAAATTGCTATGAGTTGAATAACTATAAGTGGAATATTCAGTCTTGATTATTGATCACGCTGTATAGTTCTCTTGAGCAGTAATTGAGACAAGTAAGATCAGTAAACAAGGTCGTTAACTGCGTTCTCTTTCGCGCTTAGCTTTCCGCAGCGAATGCATGCAAACAACGCCAGTAATGGTTGCTGCCAACGAATCCGAACTTTTACTGTCGATAACTCCAAAAAATTTATCAAATCATTTTCTAATGAAGCATGCATATTTACATCTAAAAATGTAAATATTCGGGAAATTCTTATTACAAACTAAGCGCGGGTCATAATCTGCAAATTAAACAAAAAATGTAATGACTTCACCATCGATAATGACTAAAACTTTAAATTCCACTCACAAAATTTAAGTTGGCATAATCCCAAAATACAAATTATAAACAAACATTTACCAAGTTGATAAAAAAAAAATTAATTTCAAACTTTACGCCGACAGCAATAACATTCATAAAGTGAAAGTAAGTCGTAGAGGAAAACATTAAATAGGATTTCGACGAAATCATATTTGATGTTTTCTTTCGTTTTCTAAAAAGCCTTAACAATAAGCCAGTGTTATTAGTAGACAAGCCATCTCCTCTGGAGAGGATAATACCCATCACATATACATATTTACAAATAAAGAAAATAAAACTTTCTACAAATCACTCACCGATACGTAATGACATATTTGAAAAAAAGGAGTAACAGCTTCAGGCCAAACACCTTCAGGTGATGTACAAGTGTTTCTCACTGCAAAATCTACTATTATAGAAGCCAAATGAACTTTAATTATAAAAAAAAAGACAAGTATTCAGTGTCCACCCTAAAGAGATTTGTACGACACAGGGTGGCGAATGACGATACTGAAGAAAATATCTTTGAGTGATTAAGGTCTTATTCAACTCAAAAAGACACACGAGGTGTTACCAAAAATGACGATTTTAGAACTCTTCTAGGAAGGGCAGATAACTATAAAAATAATATTATTTTACCACACACAGGATATTGTTGCGGGGCCGAGTAGGATGTCGCCCCCGCAAGGTTTTTATGTAGATAAATGTGAACAGCCAAGACAATGACGGGACAAAGGCAAAAATTTTTGCTATGAACAAAAGTGTCGAATTTATTCACACGTTTACATCGGTGTGGATCGAAGACTGGTTGATCGACGAACGTAGCTGGTTCGGTCGAATGTAGTTGATCCGGTCCGGTAGTTTAGGATTGGTAGGCGAACGTAGCTAGTTCGGTCGAATATAGTTGGTCTGGCCTGGTAGTTTAGGATTGGTAGGCGAACGTAGCTGGTTCGGTCGAATGTAGCTGGTCTGGTCCGGTAGTTTAGGATTGGTAGGTGAACGTAGCTGGTTCGATCGAATATAGCTGGTTCAGTCGAATATAGTTGGTCTGGCCCGGTAGTTTAGGATTGGTAGGCGAACGTAGATGGTTCGGCCGAATAGCGAGGACGGAGTCCCTAAACAGGGCCAAGGCAGAACAGTGATGCTACTTCACAGGGCGGATCGACCGCGGAAACGGGATCGCGCCAAAGTGTATCACCAGGCGAAGACGGTGTCCCTAAACAGGGCCAAGGCAGACCAGTGATGCGACTTCACAGGGCGGATCGACCGCGGGAACGGCATCGCGCCAAAGTGTATCACCTGGCGAAGACGGTGTCCCTAAACAGGGCCAAGGCAGACCAGTGATGCGACTTCACAGGGCGGATCGACCGCGGGAACGGGATCGCGCCAAAGTGTATCACCAGGCGAAGACGGTGTCCCTAAACAGGGCCAAGTCAGCACAGTAATACAACTCCACAGGGCGGATCAATCGCGGAAACGGGATCGCGCCAGAGTGTATCACCAGGCGAAGCAGGTCAGAGAGGTGTTACACCTTCCAGGGCGGATCGACCGTGGAGACGGGATCGCGCCGAAGAGTAGCACTCTCGACAAAAGCACCGGAAGTTCACAAAGGTAGCGTCTATGGTTGCTGATGTTTGGAATGGCTCTGCATAGTCAGATGCACACTAGGTATGGTTTGGCATCAACGATATTGGACTAGCCGTCCGGTTTCTCGCATGTTGCTTGACCTAGATCTGCGAGATCGGGAGTTGTGAAGGTCAAGGTCGGTTTTCTAAGGAGCGGATAATCGGCGACCGCGACAAGGCCCTTCCCCTAGAAAATTGATCATATCAATTAATAATAATAATATTACGAAGGTCTTTAGGGAAAGTGACCCTCCTACCGGATCGTGTCTGCCGCACAGGAGTCGCTGGGGTGTCGTTTGATGTCTGCGGTGCTGCGTCTGCTGCGTCTGTTGGGTGCGCTGGAATAGCATTAGGGGCCGCGGAGCCGGGTTTGCGTCATACTGTCGCTTCTCCAGAAAAGCAGGCTTGGTCCGATCGATTGCGATGGTGTCGGTCGAGTTGGCGCGCTTGATCGTAAGGTGCTTGTCGGTGCGTCGAAGAACCTGAAAAGGACCTTGGTATGCCGGCGTGAGTGGTCGTCTCACGGCGTCGTTCCGTACGAAAACGAATTTGCAATCTCGCAAGTGTTGAGGGATGTACGAATTCACCGGTTGCTGTCGCGGAGTTGCATATTTAAGCCGGGCCATTTTGTGGCGGAGTTCCTCGACGAAAGGAGATGTTGGTTTTGAAAACGTCTGAAGGAAGTCGTCGAAGTATTCACCGGGTAGCGCAAGAGGTGTACCGAAAACCAGTTCGGCGGGTGAACAACCTAAGTCCTCCTTTACGGTGTTCCTCAATGCTAGGAGAATTAAAGGCAGGTCGTCCACCCAATTGATAGTGTCAGGTCTAGTGGCCAGGGAGGTTTTAAGGGACCGATGAAACCTCTCAACTAAGCCGTTGGCGCACGGATGATAAGCGGTAGTCTTTATGTGCTTGGCGCCAAGTAGATTGGTAAACTCCCGAAAAAGGGACGACTGGAACTGTGACCCCCTGTCGGTCGTGATGACTTGGGGCGTGCCGAAAGTTCCAATCCACTCTTTCAGGATGGTCCTAGAGACGGTGTTAGCAGAAATGTCTTTTATAGGTATGGCGGTCGGCCATCGCGAAAAACGATCCACAACCGTCAAAAGATACTGGTAATCTTGACACATCGGAAGCGGTCCCACTAAGTCGACATGTATGTGTGAGAACCGTGCATCGGGACTGCTGAAGGTGCCGACGGGGGATTTAGTATGTCGGTGGACCTTACACTTCTGGCACTCCATGCACGTGGAAACCCATTCTCGAATGTCCGCATTCATATTGGGCCAAACGAATCGGTCGGTAATAAGTTTGACCGTAGCTCTCTTACTCGGATGAGACAGCCCGTGGAAATGTTGGAATACCTGTCTCCGAAGTGTCGGTGGGATGTAGGGCCTAGGGCTTGGTAGGCTGGTGTCACAGTACAGGGTGTCGTCGCTGAAGGATGCAGGGAACTCCCGAAGCTTTAAAGAAGTATTTGAAAGGACGTCCTGCAGCGTGGGGTCGGATTTTTGTTCAGCGGCTATGGAATCTTGACCCAAGACGCCGGTCTGAAGAGATTGAATTTCCGCTCGCGATAATGTGTCTGCGACGGCGTTGTCCTTCCCCTTTATGTGACGAATATCGGTCGAGAACTGTGACAGGTAGTCGAGATGCCGGATCTCGCGAGCTGTATACTTGTCAGAGTTGTTACTCATCGCGGTTGTCAACGGTTTATGGTCGGTATAGATGGTAAAATCTCGACCTTCCAGTAAATGCCTGAAATGCCTGACGGCCAGATAAATGGCCAGCAGCTCTCGGGAGAAGGTGCTATATTTTCTCTGGGCTGGCGAAAGCTTGGCTGAAAAAGAATGCGATGGGTTCGCGTTGTGAGTTGAACTTTGCTCAACCACCGCGCCCACACCAGCGTCCGATGCGTCGGTTGTCAGGAATAGTCGTGTCTCTGGATCGTCGTTGATATGCGAGAGCCTGGTATAATTTGCCAATGCAGCCTTCGCTGTATGGAATGCGTGCAGAGCATCTCCCTCCAAAGAGATGGCCTTGTTTCTTCTCTGCAGCAGGTTCGTCAGTGGCTGGAGGATGGTAGCGCAATTTGGTATGAACCGACGATAAAAATTGAGCATACCGAGGAAACGTCGCAATTGCTTCATGGACGTCGGTGTAGGAAAGTCCCGGATCGAGCTGATCTTGTCTGGCAGAGGTGTTATGCCGTCTGCGTCGGTGCGGTGCCCGAGAAAGTCAACGCTGGGCGCCCCGAAAACGCACTTGTCCAGGTTCAACTTCAGGCCGTAGTGCGAGAGTCGCTGGAAGACTTCTCGCAGGTGTTGTCTGTGAGAATCGGCGTCTGTACTGGCCACCAAGATGTCGTCGATATAGGCGTATACATGCGGAAGTCCGCGCAGGACTTCGTCTATGAGCCGTTGGAAGGTCTGGGCAGCGTTACGTAGACCGAACGGCATTTTTAGAAATTCGTATAGGCCAAACGGTGTTGTGACTGCCGTTTTTGGGACGTCTTCCGCAGCGACGGGGATCTGGTGGTATGCCTTTGTCAGGTCGATTTTCGAGAAGATGCGAGCCCCCATCAATCCGGATGCAAAATCATGGATATGAGGGACAGGATATCGGTCTGGTACGGTCGATGCATTTAATTTCCGGTAGTCGACGCATATCCGAAATTCTTCACCACCAGATTTAGGCACTAAGTGTAGTGGCGAGGCATAAGGGCTATCGGAAGGACGAATGATGCCATCACTGAGCATTTTGTCGAATTGCTCCTTGGCGTACGCCAGTTTGTGCGGAGCGAGTCGTCGCGGATGGGAGTGTGCGGGAGGACCTCGGGTTCTGATGTGGTGCTGAGTCTGATGGTCACCTGAAGCCGTTACTTGGAGTGGCAGCGTTATATCCGTGAACTGCGTCAGGAGATCTAAGTACTCGCGACCATGGCATGTTGCGACGCTGATTCCTGTGGAGCCTTGACGTGTAGGGGTACCTAAGACACGGAGATTCGTCGTCGTATCGGACAGAGTCCTAGGGTTCATATGGACCGCCAGTGCGTAATGCGCCAGGAAATCCGCGCCGAGGATGGGTACCTTCACGTTGGCCACGGTAAATGTCCAAGTGAAATCGCGTCGCATGCCGATATTCAGAGTAAGGGTCCTTTCTCCGTATGTGTCTATTGCGGAACCATTCGCTGCTCGTAGTTTGATCAGGGTGGGCTTAGCGGTGTGGTCGTTCTGAAGGGGTACCACGCTGATGGCCGCACCTGTGTCCACCAGGAATTTCAACTTGTTCCGTCGATCCCAAACGTAAAATAGACGACATTGCGTGTTGGCACCGGAAGAGTTAGTCGTCGCGACTCTCCGGTTTATTCGTTTCCCCGGGCCGACGGGTGTGTACAGGAGGTTTACAATTCCTGGCCTCATCGCCGAATGTGCGATGAAACCAACAAACACCCTGGTCGCTTCGCCGTTCTTGGCTGGGGTTCGTCTCCGTCGAGATGGGGTCGATGTCCTCGTCCGCGGGCGCAGGGAGATCTGGAGCTCCCGAATTTGCCGTTGAAGGTCGGCCAACGCCCGTTCCGTTTTACTAGGCTCGTAGCGTTCGTGCTTCGCTATGTCGGGGCGCGAACAGCGTTAACGCTGTGGTCGAACTGTGCAAAAACAAGATCAGCAGATTCTGCCAGATCATCCAGAGGCGTGGCTCTCGTCATTGGTGCGATGATTTGAGCGACAGATTTAGGCAAATGCTCCAGCCATAAACCTCGAAGAACCTTCTCTGATACGTTGTGCTTTCCCAGCTGGTTCCTCATATATCTGAGAAGCTGGGATGGCGTTTTGTCGCCTCTAGTGACGTTCCGCAGTATCTCCTGAATCATATCTTCCTCGGAACGTCCGGTTCGCTTGAGAATTGCTTCCTTTAAGTGATCGTACGGTTCATGCTCGCGCAAATCGGAGAGGACGTCAGAAATTTCGTCCATCATATCGGATGGGAGTTTCTGCATTACATTCGCGAATCTGGCTCGCTGTGAAGTAATTTGTAGCATTGAAAAGATGGATTCCACCTGCAAGAACCAATTCTTGGCATTATGGTGGTATGCAGGCAGAGGTATGATCGCAGCCGTCATGTCCAAAGAATCACTTTTAGCCGACTCCATCATCGCTTAGCTGTCTCACGTCGGGAAGTCACCACTTGTTGCGGGGCCGAGTAGGATGTCGCCCCCGCAAGGTTTTTATGTAGATAAATGTGAACAGCCAAGACAATGACGGGACAAAGGCAAAGGTTTTTGTTATGAACAAAAGTGTCGAATTTATTCACACGTTTACATCGGTGTGGATCGAAGACTGGTTGATCGACGAACGTAGCTGGTTCGGTCGAATGTAGTTGATCCGGTCCGGTAGTTTAGGATTGGTAGGCGAACGTAGCTGGTTCGGTCGAATATAGTTGGTCTGGCCTGGTAGTTTAGGATTGGTAGGCGAACGTAGCTGGTTCGGTCGAATGTAGCTGGTCTGGTCCGGTAGTTTAGGATTGGTAGGTGAACGTAGCTGGTTCGATCGAATATAGCTGGTTCAGTCGAATATAGTTGGTCTGGCCCGGTAGTTTAGGATTGGTAGGCGAACGTAGATGGTTCGGCCGAATAGCGAGGACGGAGTCCCTAAACAGGGCCAAGGCAGAACAGTGATGCTACTTCACAGGGCGGATCGACCGCGGAAACGGGATCGCGCCAAAGTGTATCACCAGGCGAAGCAGGTCAGAGAGGTGTTACACCTTCCAGGGCGGATCGACCGTGGAGACGGGATCGCGCCGAAGAGTAGCACTCTCGACAAAAGCACCGGAAGTTCACAAAGGTAGCGTACTACACTTTGATCCAGGCGAGATTTATTTCGTAAAAAATACAAAATTGTGGCACAAGGCCGAAAAGGTGGGGGGTAAGGCTGGTCTTCACTAACTATCTTATACCTAGCTAATTTGATTCACGACCCATTCAGACATTACAGTTTACTCATTCACCATAAGAACTCGTCCGTCACCAATCAATCCTCCTTGCACCATAATACCACATCCACTCTAGGGAGACTTACAAAACGCGCCCCATGACATAATGATCCGGGCCGAGCAGCTTGGTTTGGGCGAAAAAGTGGCTAAGAATATTTTGAAAAAGTTGTTCAAGTGCTCCCTGGCTAGAGGGAGTAGAAGACCGTAGATAATTAATTACTGTCTATGGTTGCTGATGTTTGGAATGGCTCTGCATAGTCAGATGCACACTAGGTATGGTTTGGCATCAACGATATTGGACTAGCCGTCAGGTTTCTCGCATGTTGCTTGACCTAGATCTGCGAGATCGGGAGTTGTGAAGGTCAAGGTCGGTTTTCTAAGGAGCGGATAATCGGCGACCGCGACAATATCACAAACGTGATAAGGTCTTAACAAGGATAAATATTACACACATTAATCTTAAAATCATTTAGATCAAAAAGATCTAAATAGCTTAAGAACAAATGAACGTCTATAATCCATAACTATTTGTTTACTGCACATATTGCACAAACAGTAACAAACACTTTTCTTATTGCTAATTCAGAAGAATATCATTTAGCTTAAGAGTTATATAAAAAAAAAAAATTTCCACAATGGGCATTTCAGGGATTTAAAAATTAAATACCTCTACCCACAAGAACAGATTCAAGCAGTGGATTTAGATTTACAAATTGGAAAGTAAAGAACGACTGTGAACAAATTAAACTTTATTGTTCTATTTTGTTTATCTCTCTGCGTAGAAGTAGTCGTAGTATAGTTCTCGGTGTCCTGAAGAACAACCGGGTTTGCTAGGCATAGTCACCCTATGTTTGCCAGTTGTTCTCTATTTATACTTGTCTATCTAATTTGCATACGATACTACACCTCCCTGGATCGGAGAGTTCGTATACCCTTGTTTTTTTCTTTTACTATTCCTGATTGTTTTCATATTGTTTGCCCATACTCTTGTCCTTCTTGTTTTCTCTTTAATGGTGATCTCGGTCTCTTCATTTTCTTCTTCATACTCGTGTGGAATCTTCCACAACAAACCAGCCTTACCTCTTCTTAGGAAATGCACTCTTCCTATCTGGTAAGTAACATCCTACTTTCATACAAAATATCAACGAGAAACCATTGGTCAATCACCTTCAAACTAGCTCGTTGATTGGTCAGTTTCGACCAATCAAACCGCCTGCTCGCGACAAATCTGTTGCGGCGCTAAGCAGGTTGCCTGTTAACCCCGCAAGCAGAAAAATCTAAGGGTAATACGATCGAAGCAAGGACGAGGATGTATAAGTTTAAGCCAAACTTTATTAAATAATCTGGCACAAATATTTACAGATAATCGTTTGTGGTAGTTCGGTCGTGTAGTTTTGAAGGAGCGTTGTCAGGTTTCAAGGCGACAGCTTGGAGGTAGGCCGATGGAACAGCGGTGTTCGAGGTCCAGTCGATCCCCGGATGTCTGTACTTGTGTAAAGAGCGCGTCGGCGCTTGAGGAGAGAGAGGATCGACGCGGACGGCGCTGGTGTAGTCAGTTCGTCCTTGGTATCGTGCAGGATCGCAGCTTGGTAGTTCTAATAAAAGGACATTCGTAATGACGCGGCTAGGTTAGTCCTGAAAAGGACTATTGCATAGTATGTAACCAGGCGTAGTCCGGAAAAACGACTAGTGCATATCATGTAACCGAGTGTAGGCTAGTGCATATCATGTAACCGAGGATAGACTAGTGCATATCATGTAGCCGAGTGTACGCTACTGGTGAAGCTGGGCTGCTTTGCTGCTGCTGATGGCTCTGGCTGCTTCGTGTGGTCAGGGAAGGTGAGAGGGGGAGCTCGTCGCTCAACCCCGAGGCCAAAAATCCGCCGACGATTTATTTTGTAAAAATACAAAATTATGGCACAAGGCCGAAAAAAGGGGAGGGGGTAAAAGGCTGGTCTTCACAAACTATCTTATACCGAGCTAATTTGATTCACGACCCATTCAGACAAGACTTCCTCCTCTCGCGTCGTCCATATCACCATTCGGGCCGTGGCTAGCAGCGTGAGAAACACCATCCGTTTCACCCCGGAATACAGGGGGGGGGGCGTGGTGGAAAATCGGCTGTGTTTATATATAGGCTGAGGTCGGCAACGTAGCCTGTTAGCGATATCTTTGGGGTGATGACTGAAAATTACCTTCTACTTTTTGGCTCTACAGATGGGTTTCATTCGGACACCATGTGTATATAAAGTAGTTTCTGGTAATTGTTTTTGGTTAGGAAGGCATGTGTATGTAAATGTTTCGTTTATTTTGAGTTTGTGTGAGCCGTTGACTGAAAAACGCTGAGTCACCGGAAGTTAACGGCGTTCGTTATGTTTTCCGCGGTGACGCTTTTATATGTTTGAGTAGCCGGCAGTAACTTCCGGCCGGGTGCGATAAATCTGTTTTACCGCGTTTTCCATTTGATCGTACCACGTGATACACGACCATTATATAAACCCAACACGTGTAAACTCCCTCGAGTTTCTTTTCTTTTCATCTCTCTCTGTTCCTGCTCTTCCTGACTCGAGCCTAACTTATCTACGTCACTCGTACATCTCAACACGCCTCCAAAATGTGACCCTAAAGGAACTCTCGTCTAGACTGATCCAGTGAGACGTTAAATGAGCAAAACTTAATTCATGAAAGTATTATCTCTGAACTCTACCTAACTTGTTTATACAATTCCAAACACTCAATACGAACTCATTACATTCTATTACAGTTTAATATTACTTTCTCATAATATGAACTCATACGCTGAAGCTCTTGGGATTTTATTTGCTTCTTTTCTTTACGCTTGTGCGATACCTCCAGTTTAGACTACCTAAGATCAAAATCACAACGTGGGTAGGTTAGACTTGAGATCGAAGTAGTTGCTTCGGTAACTAGACATTAGAAGTGAGCTGAGAACGACAGAGGTGGTGTCGAACAGCTTGCATCTGGTGTGAAGCCGTTTGAAATCGACCGACCATCCCACTTAGTACTCTGACCAAAAGGATCTCGCCGGGGGTGATGACCACCGATCGACCGGGACACAGGTGGGTGCAGCGACCAAGAGTCAACCCCAAAACGCTGGTAGGAGAAATATCATAGTTTCGCGCCGCGACTTGGAGTTGACCACGGGCCGACGACTCAGTGTCATATATATATATATATATATATATATAGTTTATGAAAAACTAGGTAATCTGTATGGGTAAACCTAAGGAGGATAAAATAATAATGAATAATAAGTTTTTTTAAAGAGATTAAAAAAAAGATTACCAGAAGTAAACTTATATTTTAAAATAAAATTTTATTCTTTTAATGTACTTTCTATGAATATTTTTTAATCGACTATTTTAAAAGGGCTGTGGTGAAATAATTTATTACATGGAACCTTAAAGTGGTCTGTTTTTATTTAATATATATATATATATATATATATATATATATAATGAATAAACGAATGCAGAGTTTCGTAGACGGACCTGTCTGTTCACTCTTCAGGGGTATCAGCAATTTACTGCTTATATTTTTCGATTTTTTCTCTTTTTTATACGGTTATCATTGGTGTAAATTTTTTCCCTATTATTTGTGTTCGTGTACGCGTTTGCGCGCGTGCAGCCATGTATATGGGTAAATTATGGCCATTTTATCTTTGTAATTTCGCGCATGCGCGTTCTTTGTTTTTATTTTGTCGACTGCACAGTAGTGGAGGTAGTGCTGCACTGGATCAAGGGAGTGACTTGTGGAAAGCCCTATGTCCGGCAACAGTACTCTGCACCATGCCACACAAGCAGGAGAACCCAGTCATGGCAGTCAATTTCTGTGACCATATCATCCCTTATATCTGGTCACCTAACTCCCCAGACTGTAACCCACTTGATTATTATGTGTGGAGCGCAGTTGAGCGTGAGACCAACATGTAACACCAAAGATGAACTGAAGGTAAGGATTATGGCAGCATTCACCAACAAGGAAGCCTCCAGAAGAGATGCAGGAGATTCCGAAGTCGTCTGGAGGCCGTGGTTGAAGTTAATGGCGATTTTATTGAAAGAATTTACACTATTTACACTGTTCAAATGAGATGTCATTTTCATTTTGCGTCATTTCGACGACAATTCATCGCACCCGGTA